CTGGGGAGCCGGGCCTGTCCTCACAGAGTGGCTCGCTGCAGACCCCAGACAACACCGTGCCAGCAAGTGTGGTCATCCAGCCCCTCTCTGGCCTGTCTCTGCAGCCCTCGGTGACCTCAGCCAACCTGACCATCGGACCACTATCTGAGCAGGACAGTGTATTGACCCCCAGCAGCGGAGGTGAGGCTCTGGCTTCTCTGACAGCTCTCCTTTTTGGCCTCTCTGAGGCCACGGGTCCTTTCCTTAGGAAGTCTGGCGGGTCAGTCTCTGCCCTGGTAGTGCTCATGGAGGGTCTACCCCAGGCCCACTCACATGGTGGCCTGCATACTGGCCCCATCAGAGCACAGGCTTTCATCCTCACAGATGAAGGGGTCAGGGGACACTGTCTCAGTCTCGGTTCCCACTTGCTCTGTGCTCTAGACGTGCAGGCTTGTCCAGCCCATTGGAGGAGAGCACAGCCCGCTAAAGCAGCCACGCATGCCAGGTCCACCAACGCTCCGCCGTGGGCTTGTCAGTGTGCACGGTTCGGAGCAGTGCGGGATACCTGAGGGACCGGAGGGGGACACGCAGGCGAGACGAGGGCTCTCGCTGCTGGAGAAAGGACACTACCACACTGGCTCTCAGCTGCTGCAGTTTCCACTTGTAAAATGACAGTGAAGCAGCGGAGCGAGATGCAGTCGGACAGGCTTGGCCTGTGTCCTCCCTGCTTCTGACCCGGGCATTTGGCCCCTTGTCTGTGACGTGCAAAGGAGAGAATCAGGCTTTTAATGGCTGTGTTTGTTTTGCTTCTGCTGCCAACCAGGCCCCCAAGAGCTGTCTCAAGTGATGACCTCTCCGGGGCTCGTGTCCTCGTCCAATGGTCCTCACGAGATCACCTTGACCATTAACAACTCCAGCCTCAGCCAGGTGCTGGCCCAGGCGGCCAGCTCCGCCACCACGTCGTCCTCAGGCTCACCGCAGGAGATCACCCTCACAATATCGGGTCAGTCACACTGCCAGCTCCCTGGGCCACTTGGGGTTTTTCTCTCAGCCGGGTCTGGAGCCCCTTGTGCTCCCTGTGAGGGTCTGTGAGGAGCCTGGCTTGATTGTGCACAGAACTTGCCCTCAAAATGGCTTTGTTTCAGCGCAGTTCCTAGCCAGGAGGCGACAGGCCACCCAAGGGTGTGTTTAACAGTGAATGTCACAGCCTCACTGAGCACACTCAGTCCACGTGGCAGCTTGACAAGTCCCTAAGGGTTCAGAAAGGTTCCGCTGGACTCCCAGGGAGCATCTGGAGGTTGGTTGTGAGGGGCACTGCCTTGGTCCCCAGAACACAGCAGGATGCCTGCCAACCCCATGAGGCCCACAAAGCTGTGAGATCAGTGCAGAGTCCAGCTCTTACCATGGAGATTTCTGTGCAAATTACTACCAGAACAGAAGGAAACTTAGGAGTAAACCTAAACCTTTTTTTATTAAAAAAAAAATACCTTTTTGAGATGTTTTTATTTCTTTTTTTAGTAATTTTCTAAGGTGACAGTATTTCTTAATGCTTTTGGGCTGTATTTTCACATCATTGAAAGGTTCCCAACAAGTGTATGTGAATCTAAAAGAGTAATATTCTAAAGAGGGTCCTGGACGTGCTCAAGCGTCTTGTGAGACACGCGCATCCATTCCCGAGTTGAAGGTTAATAGGAAGAGTCATGTTCAGGCCAGCCAGGTGCTTGTCCGTGCGAGTGTTCCTGTCTGTATGTATATAAGCTGCCCTGGATTCCCTGGGAGTGTCTCCAACATGATATGGAATCAGCAGGAGTGACAGTGTCTGACGCGAGCCCCAGAGCGGTGCCCGCCAGTTCCCATGGACCCTCATGTGCACCTCCCACTGTGGTCCCATAGGCTTTGTAGAGCTTGGCTGGTCACCATGGGTGGGCCGGAGTTGGACCTTGCTGTCTCAGGCAGTTGAAGGTTCATTACGGGGACAGCCTGTGTATCGCAGGGAGTGAAGGTTAAGGCAGAAGCTGTTCGTTCCTGAGGGCTGTGTGTTCAGTCAGTGTGTGTATGTTCTCACGTTTCACAGCGTCCATTTCTGTCCAGGTCAGGACCTCATCCAGCACAATTCTAATGGAAGTGGAGAGCTGAATGGGAGCGTCCGGCTGTCCACCCCTGCAGTCAGCACCCCGTCCACAGGTGCCACCTTGACAATAAGCAGTGACCAGCTCCTGTCCCAGAGCACAGCACTCAACTCTGCAGGTAGGTGGTGACCAGCTGGTCAGGAAGAGTGCGCCGAACCCCTGTGCTCAGAGGAGAAGGTAGGTGGGGGGTGAGGTGATCGGGGAAGGTGTGCTGGACCACTGTCCTCACAGAAGCTAGTAGATGGTCAGGCAGGTGGTCAGGAAAGGTGAGCTAAGATGCCAGTCACTGGAGCAGGCCACGGATGGTTCCTGCCTTCCAGCATCATGAGGGACCATTACCTGTCCTATTACACCTAGGGCACCTCTCATGCCCGGCTGTGGCATTCTCCCTGGCACTGGTGACCAGCCATCACTGTCATCCACCCTACCTCTGATGGACAGGCCTGTGGGCTGGGCTCTGCGTAGGACCACCTGTCCTGCAGGCCTAGCTTTCTGCCACCAGGTGGCAGCAGAGCTAACCTGGAGGAGGCGGCTTTCTCAGGCGCACACTGGAGCAGGTCAGGTTTGTGACCAGTAGCTCACATCACCCGTCAGTGTGGTTTCTCTGACCACAGATCCATCCATTGCCTCTCGTTAGATCGTTTCTTAACGGCAGCACGTCCTCAAGACCCAGGTGTATTGTCTTGAGAATGAGGCCGTAGGGTTTTGAGGCTTAGTTGGAGTCTTTCCGTTCAGCTGTCTCTGTCAGACAGGATATGGTAACGTGTGCTTTGTGCTCACTGCAGTGAGGTGGGGGTGGCCGTCTAGAGCCCTGGGTCTTGGCCTGTGTGACCCAAGATGCTAGCTGGACATCGACCCTGTCTGAGAGTATGGAAGGGAGGGTCCCAGTGCCTTTGGGCTCCTAGACGCTAGGCAGGCATTGCCCATGACTGAGGGTCAGTGTGAACTGGAGGGTGCCAGAGCCAGTGGGCCCCTAGATTCTGACTATGTGCAGGTGCTGACTGAGGGACCACACGCCGGTGACAGTGCAGCCGGCACAGTGTGGACCCGAGTTCCCAGTGCCCAGCAAGCACATGGTGGCCGGGGCTGGTCAGGAGTGAGTGACGGCACCCCAGTGGCCCAGTGGCAGAATGAGAGCAGGCTAAGTGACTGGTGCAGGACAGCATGAGGGAAGTGAGGATGCTGGGTCATCCGGGTCCTGGGCCGCCTTCTCGGTCTCCTGCCCCTGACCAGACTGAGTTCTTGGCTGCAGGGCACCTCTCTGCTTGGTCAGCTCACTTGCTCTGATTCTGAACATCAGCAAACTGTCTAGAGCATCATTCTTTCATTTCCCAATTTGACGTAAGAGAGGATTTTGCTGTGTTTGGTTTCCATTGCATGGACTTGTGCTTTCTGTTTTAATTGATTGAAAGCTATGAGTTTCAGGCTGTTGAGTTCTGAGGGCTGAGAGGTCCAAGGAGAGCAGCTGCTACTACCAGTCGTAGTGAGCTCCCTGTGGACTGTGCACTAATCCCTGCTCTCTGCGTGACTTCTCTGTCCGCCACTTCTGCGTGATGCAGGGGTCTAGGAGGTGCCTGTTTGTGTGCCCGGTGCGTGTGGGGTCTAGGAGGTCCCCTGTGTGTGTGGAGTGCTAGGAGGTGCCTGTCGGGTAGAGGGGCCCCTGTATAAGCAGTTAAGCACTTAAATAATAGCCGGAAAAAAGTGGCGAATCTGGCCCATCCAGAGGGGCCTCGGAGGCCAGCCTTCACGGACAGGACCCCTGTGTGTCAGTGCTGCTGCCCCACAGCACTCAGGGTCAGGTTGATTTTCCAGCAGTGAGTGGTTCTGGGCTCACAGAGGCCCCTTTGGATGTCTCCAGGCACGGGGAGAGGGTGCTCATCTGCACCTTGCCTGGGTCTTCAAGCGAGTGACTGGTTCAGCTGGAAGCTCCTTTCCCTCGGTGCGGGATCATCTGCTGGGAAATGGCACTGAGGGAACACGGTCTTGAGACTAAACAAGGCGTTCACCTGTGGGTCCCCCAGGGCTGCTTTCAGCACGAGTCCCATGCCAGGTCTCTCTCCTTTGCCAGGATGGCTGCGTGCGGCTTTGTAGATGAGGCCTCGGATCCTTCCAATCCCTTCCCACTGATGCTCGTGAAGAGCCCAGCACAGCTCTGTGAGAAGTTACAGAGTGGCATGGTCTTGGCAGAGACCTGTACACCGTGGGGCGGGCACATTGATATTTAAGGGTGACGAGGCTGCCCAGCTGCCTCTGTAGGAACAGACATTTGGGCTGATGTTGGGCATGGCTCATTAGGCTGTGTGGTTTGGCCCATCCATGCTCTGTGTCCGACTGGATCCCTGAGTCGCCTGACTGGTCATTGTCACCGGATCCTGCTGGGTTCGCAGGTTCCTAGTGCTCTGTGCTCATGGCATCTCGGGGCTCTGGGGCCCCAGGCTGTGGGCCAGACAGTCCACTCATCTCACTATGAATCACTTCCCCCAAACCTGACTTCTTGTGCTGGGATATGCGACCTCACTAGGTGTTCTCACAGATGTGCCCTTCCTGCTTCTTTCTAGAACTTAGCACCACTGCTGGGAGTCTTCCTGCCGCCACACCCATGTCTCCATCCACCATCTCCACGCAGAACCTGGTCATGGCATCCTCAGGGGTGGGAGGCGACGCCAGCGTCACCCTCACACTGGCTGACACTCAGGGCATGCTTTCCGGAGGCCTGGACACAGTGACGCTCAACATCACCTCGCAGGTGAGACTCCTCCTGCCAGTGTGCTGACTTCCTTCCTCAGGCCCTGGAAATCACTGCTGGAAACTGGCACCCAGTTGCTGGAGACCCTCGTGGGTGCTTGTCATGGCGTCTTGTTCTGCTGGTATTGTGCGTCATGACACAGAAGTCACTGCTGTGCTGACCAGGTGGCATTGTGACAGGAGCCACACAGTGGGCTGTTGTTAGGTACCGTTGAGTAGTCTGTGACTCATAGCGACCCTATGTACAACAGCCCTAAACCCTGCTTCTATCCCTTACCAATCTTATTGTCTCTGACACACCTATCTATTACCCCAGTGACTAAATCAGTCCACCTCATCGAGGGTCTTCCTCTCCTGCGCCATCCCTGCACCCTCCCAAGTATGATGTCCCTCTCCAAGGACTGGTCCCACCTTGCAACATGTCCAAAGTATGTCAGACGAAGCCTCAGAATCCTTGCATCAAGGAGCAGCCTGGTTTCACCCTCTCTAGGATGAATCTGTTTGTTCTCCCAGCAGTTCATGGTCTGTTCAGTACTCTTCTCCAGCACCACAACTCAAAGGCATCAGCTCTCCTTCTGTCATCCGTAGTCATTGTCCAGCTCTCTGATGCATAGGTAGCACCCGGTAAAGGCAGGGATGTGATGGTCATTGCTGTTTCCACCCCCTGCCCAGGCTGTCTGGGGACTGCCTATCTCGGTTAGCCCTGCCATTGTCGAGTGGGAGGCAGCCCAGCTGCATCCCTGCATCTGATAAGGAAATGAGGCCTCTTGGTGGTGGTGTGTCTGTCCAGTGGGCTGTACTGTGTGGCATTATGTTTTTTGTGATTTGTCCAATTGGAGCTTGGGTCCACTACGGGACACCTCATGTCCTGTTACCTATACTGAGTGGAGAAAATGTAAGCTCTGAAATAAAGATACTGTGAACACTTGTGTCCAGTTTTCAGGTGGCCGTAGGGTTCATGTATAAATGGCACTTTTCATGTGTGTAAGGAGCCCTAATGCCCTGATAGTGAAGCACTCAGCTGCTAACCCAGAGGTCGGCAGTTCAAGCCCACTAGCTGCTCTGTGGGAGGAGGATGTGGCAGTCCACAGTCCACTTCTAGAGCAATTGCAGCCTTGGAAGCCTCTGCCATGCAGGGTCCCGCAGGATTGGTCCTCGTGTGAGGGCAGTGCGCTTGTGACCTCTGGAGAAGCAGCCAGGAGCTTCTGCAGGACCCGTGCCACGGAGTGGGACGTGGATGTGCCGCTGCAACCCCGCTGAGCCCTTGCTATGCTTTTCAGGGCCAGCAGTTCCCAGCACTGCTCACCGACTCGTCCCTCTCAGGCCCGGGCAGCACCGGTTCCCCGCAGGTGATCCTGGTCAGCCACACACCCCACACGCCATCAGCTGGCTGCGAAGAGCTGGCCTACCAGGTGAGTGTACCAGCTCCTGCCTCTGATCCCATACGTGGGCGGCCTTTCTGCGACTGTGGCCTCACGCCTTGTCCATGTGTGTGAGTTAATGGGCTCCCTTAGTATGCTCTTTGGATCCCAACTGAGGGACCCTGCTTATTGATTTTTTAATCTCAGTTAGGAAGCTTTCTCTACAGCCTTCAGCCCCTGGCCTTTCTGTAATGTCCCTCTGTGGTGCCATCTGTCTCATCTGTTGGGCACTGGGAGGTGACCACATCCGCACTCTGCTCCTAACACTGGAGACAGGTGATGTCTGTTAGAGCCACACGTGTGTGTGTGAAGACAGGCTAGAGACCGGGACCAGGTGACACACGTCAGGTACCACACATGTGGGAAGACAGCCTAGGGACGGGGTCCTGCTGACATATGTCAGGAGCCGTGTGTGTGTGCGTGTGTGAAGACGGTCGAGGGAGTGGGGACTGTGACCCAGGAGGCACGCCCCGCCTGCAGTCTGGTTTACTGACATCTTTTTAGAGAGGCCTCCTGGTCAGATGGCCCATGACCATCTCTGTGTTATCTCACATTTTTGCTGAGAACATACACTGCTTCGCCTGTTCTGTGTGCAGCCCTGCAACCTGAATGCCGCGTTCGGGCTGCGCCTTGCCCTTCCCCTCCTTGGTCCGTCCCCTCTGTTAAGCTGCGCTCACATCCCCTTGTCCTTGCTCTGACTCCAGGTGCATGGTGCTGGACACCACACAGCTCAGGTTCTTCTCTAGTTAAACGGTGACATTAAGAGAGTCCTTTTGTTTCCCGTTCAAAGATGTCTCATTGTAGTAGTTTCAGGGGTTTATCCAGCTTCCTTGTTCCACAGTCTGGGGTCCCTGAGAGCTTGAAATTCTGTGCTGCGTTTGCCCCTGTGGGTCAGGATTCTACTCTAGCATCTCTGATCCAGATGCTCGGTGAAGGGAGGGGGCACCACCCAGTCCTTCTCGCCTCCTGGCACAGGGGTCACGGTCCATCCTCTCCTGCTCCCGACTCCCTTCCTGTTCTGGGCAGACGGACACCAGTTACCTGTGCAGCCACTGGCTGGTGTGACCACACCCTTGACATCCACAATGCCCTCTTGCCTGCAGGTGACTGACGTGGCCCCTGCCCTGACTAAGGGCAGCCCGCCCGAGAAGGAGGGCCGGGCGCACCCGTGCCTGGAGTGCAGCCGGGCCTTCTCGTCGGCCGCCATGCTGCTGCAGCACAGCAAGGAGGTGCACGGCCGGGAGCGCATCCACGCCTGCCGCCTCTGCGGCAAGGCCTTCAAGCGCGCCACGCACCTCAAGGTACTGCGGCCACTGCGGCCAAACCAGGGAGGGCCAAGCTGCGTGCTGTGGGGGAGGCTGTGGGACACGCTGGCCTGCGTGCGGCCGGCGAACGGGCAGGGTGGTGCTGTCGCAGACATGTGCGCCACATCCACTGCCGGGGAGGCTGTGGGCCGGGGTGCCTGTGAGGGGGGGGGTCTGGCTGCCGCGTCATCCTGCACTGCACATAAGTGCTCTCCTGAACACGCCCATACGTTCGGGTCAGCTTTGCCACCCGTCAGGCAGCAGGAACCCCGTGAAGCTGAGGAGACTGGACAGTCCTGTGTTTTGGAAGGGGCCCTCCTCCTGGCCCCTGTCACCTCCATGACAGTGGTGTACAAGCGCGTGCCGTCATGTACACTGGAAATGCCTGTGCACAGGAGGCCAGGCAGAGGGACCCATGGCCTGATGGCATGTGTGTGGGCGATGGACCTGAATAGTGCTGCTTGCTGGAGGCTGTCAGACCTGACGCCGGCTCCCAGTGAAAAGGCCATGAGGCCACACATTCTCGCTGGGACGTTCTGCCTCGTGGAGTTGGGAACGCTTCCCACCTGGGCTGGTAAGGCTGGCGTTGTGCTGGTCCTGAGCCTGCCGAGATGTATGGAGTGCCACAGTGGACAGGGGTTCCCAGGGAGGTCCCCGTACCCAAGCCAGCGGTGCTGCAGCGTGGGCTTAGTGCTGGGCCCTCTGGCTGCCTCTTTGTACCCCACTTAGATGGGTTGGCACCCCAACTCCTTCTTGTTTGTGGCTGAGACTCTCAGGTTGGAGGTTTCCTTGGTGTACATGAGGGACTACCCAGTGAGGATGTGATGGGTGCCAGTCTGCATCCTGGCTTCCTTTGCTGGGTGATCTTGACCAAGCCCCGGAGGCCTGGGATGGGCAGTAAACAAGGGGCCTGTGGGGACAGAGGGGAGTGGGCCCTTGGCCGTCCCCGTGATTAGCTCGTCCAGCTCCACTCCACCGTCCTTCCATCCCTGTGTGCTGTGCTGTCCTTGCGCTGAGTCGCCTGTGAGACCTCCATGGTGTCCCACCACATGTCCCTGTTGTGTTCTTTCAGGAGCACATGCAGACACACCAGGCCGGCCCATCCTTGAGCTCCCAGAAGCCACGAGTGTTTAAGTGTGACACGTGTGAGAAGGCGTTTGCCAAACCCAGCCAGCTGGAGCGACACAGCCGCATCCACACAGGTACGAGGGCCTTTTCCTCGAGACCCCAGATGCTGTGGGGAGCAGTGGGCCGCGAGTGTAGTGAAGGTGTGACCTGTAGCGTGTGCCACCCTCCTTGTCCAGCAGGGGCCCTGGGCCCATGCGTCTCACATTTACAGTCAGTTCCATATTTGACTTGACCATGAGGGAGCCCTGGGGGCACAGGTGGTAGGAAGCCCTCAGGACTCTTCGGGAGAGGAATTGACCATGTGTCCCTGTGACCATATCTCCTACAAAGGTTGTGGCCTTGGAAGCCGTGTGGGGTTTCTTTATCCTTTGGTCACTGTGAGGCAGAACAACTCAGTGGTACCCCATGATCACTCTCCACGTCCAACCCAGGACGGGTTCCCCCGTGACCACTCTCCACATACAACCCAGGATGGGGACGCCACCACCCCCACCCCGTGACCATTCATTACGTGTAAGCCCTGGACAGGTGCATACAGGTTGCCTCACCTAACCCCTCCGCCAGGCCTGCCTGTCCCTGAGATGGTGGGAAGGATGAGTCCATCGCAGTTGGGCATCTGCCTCTCTTCTCTCGGATTCCCGCTCCTCCTCCTCCTTTTCTGTCCTTGGACACCTGTGTCGACACGGGCAGCTCCTGGCTCTAGCCTTCCTGACACTGCGCCCAGATGAGGAGGAGCCGTACTGGGGCTCTCTGCTCACCCACATCCTTTGTCCCTTGCTGGCCTCTGTGTCCTCATGCAGGGCAGCCCACTTCTCTGTCACTGCCCATCCCTGCTAGCTGGCGCCAGTATGTTCAGGCCGGTTCTCTGCCTCTGCACACCACCCCCCCCCCCGGGCTAGGTGGGCACTCTAAGGGTGGTGAAGACAGAGGGGTCGGTGGAGTGGGACAGAACACAGGGCTGTACACGCTTCCAAGCCTGACCCTGCCACCCCCAGGGGAGCGTCCGTTCCGATGCACGCTGTGTGAGAAGGCCTTCAACCAGAAGAGCGCGCTGCAGGTGCACATGAAGAAGCATACGGGCGAGCGGCCCTACAAGTGCGAGTGCTGTGCCATGGGCTTCACGCAGAAGAGCAACATGAAGCTGCATATGCGGCGCGCGCACGGCTACACGGGTGAGGGCGGGCGCTGTGCGCGTGTGTGTCCCTGCTGCGGCTGTGAGGAGGGGGGTGGGGTGTGTGTGTGTGAGTGTCCCTGTGTCCCTGCTGCGGCTGTGAGGAGGGAGGTGCTGTGTGACACAGCCGTTGCTGCATGTGTGCGTGCATACATGCGTGTTGACAGCTTTGTGGCTGGGGAGCACGGCACAGCGCACAGGTGTCCGTGTGTGTACGTGAGAACTCTGGTGTCCATGCTCTTTGTGAGTGTGCACACACTGCCACAGGGCCTGGCTCACCGTGTCTTTGCAGACTCTGCCAGGGGACTGGCCACCTGCGCTGTGTGTGGGGTCTGGCAGATCCCCACCCAGTGTCCTGAGAGCTCTTGGCATGTCTGTCACAGAGGGGCAGCTGGAACAGGTCAGGGAGGGGCCTGAAGTCAGACCTGTGCCCACCACCTGGCCCACCCTGACAGCAGTGTCCTGTCAGTGGTGTAATGGCTGGCTGGGGAGCAGCAGGGTAGAGCAGTGCTTTGCTGTGTAGGCATCCCCTCCACTGTCTCTGCTAAGAGCCTGGCCACACAGTGGGAATCGTGGTCACCACTCCGGGAACTGACCATGGTGGTGCTGAGCAGCTCTGTGTGGAGAAGCCAGCGTGGCCACACTCCCACGGGGCAGCCCCTGCTGCTATCGTTTCTGTTCTGTCACTCACTCCAGTCAATGTGGACAACTGTGTTGTCACCTTTACACTGAGCTTGGTGTCCTGCCCTCTCCCTCCCACAGGTCCCCTTCAGGATGCTGCCAGCCACCCAGAGCAGGACACGGCGGGGCTGGGCCGGACGCTGCACCTGGAGGTGTCTGAGCCGGCCGGTGAGTGGCAGGCCCTGGCCAATGTCTTCTGACAG